CATCCAAATTTCTCTTACAAGAATACCCAAGCTCAACAAAATCCACCTCCACTACCACCTTGAAACAACAATTATAATGCACCACCTGGTTTCCAAGCAAGACAACCTCTAGTCCAACAACCTATGCAACCACCTCCACAAAAATCCAACCTTGAGTTGATGATGGAGAACTTCGTTACCACAACAAACAACAACATCCAACAACTACAAGCTCATGAAAAATCAAATAAGTCAACTTGCTCATCAAGTTGGCCAATCTTTAAAGACTCCGGGAGCCTTTTCGGGTCAATAGAGCAACCACCAAAGGGGCATATGAATGTTGTGACTTTGAGGAGTGGAAAGAAGTTGGAAGATCCTCCCATGAAGGAGCCATCAAAGGAGGTTTTTGAAGAGGTAGTCACAGATGAGAAGGTGGTCGATAGTAGTGCGATTAAGAAAGAGCCAAAGGCATCAACTCCACCACCACTTGTTCCATATGTGCCACAAGTTCCTTTCCCGTAAAGGTTGGCTCAAGCTAAGTTAGAGAAAAAGTATGGAAAATTTCTTGATATTCTGAAAAAATGCTTCACATCAACATTCCATTCCTAGATGCAATATCCGAGATGCCATCTTATGCAAAATATTTAAAGGATATGTTCTCTAACAAGAAGAAGCTAGAGGAGAATGCTACAGTTGCGTTGAATTCAGAGTGTAGTGCAATTTTGCAAAATACACTTCCTAAGAAACTAGGCGATCTAAGTAGCTACTCCATTCCAGTGAAGCTTGAGGATTTACAGATTAACAAGGCACTATGTGATCTTGGTGCAAACGTGAGTCTTATGCCGCTCTCTATTTGCAAGAAACTTCAAATGGGTGAACTTAAGCCTACGCGCATGTCTCTACAACTTGCAGATAGGTTGGTTAAATTTCCCTTGGGTATACTTAAAGATGTTCCTCTTAGTGTGGGAAAATTCTTTATCCCATGTGATTTTGTTGTGATGGATATGGAAGAGGATGCACATGTCCCCATTATTCTTGGTAGACCATTCTTAGCCACTGCAGGTGCAATCATTGATATGAAGAATGGTAAAATCACTTTTGAGGTGGGCGATGAGAAAATGGAATATTCACTCTTGAATGCTAAGGGTACTCCTTCCATGGGAGAGACTATTTTTCAAGTGGATGTCCTTGATGACTTAGAACGTGAGAAACTTCCCTTGACTAAAACATATGATGCACTTGAAACAGTGTTGGTGGGGAGTGCCAATGAGGAAGATTGGGAGACAAGGGAGTACACACGGCTACTTGAGGAAGGAAAATTCAATCCAACCGACGCTCTAGTGAAGGAAGTCCTTAGTGCATCGAGTGTAGGAAAGAGTACTACGCCTCCCGAGGTAGAGTTGAAACCCTTTCCCTCTACTCTTAAATATGCATATCTTGGTCCTAATAATACATATCCTGTTATTGTTAATGCTGAGCTTAATGACATGAATTTAGAGCAATTGTTCACTGTTTTGAGAAAATATAAATGTGTTATTGGGTACACCATTGATGATATTAAGGGTATTAATTCCTCATTTTTTATGCATAAGATAATTCTCGAGGACGATCATAACTCCTCCATAGAACCTTAAAGACGACTTAATCTAAATATGATGGAGGTAGTTAAAAAGAGGTTCTTAAATTGCTTGCTGTAGGTATAATCTACCCTATCTCAGGTAGTAAGTGGGTTAGCCCTGTACAAGTAGTTCCAAAGAAAGGGGGTTTGACCGTTGTCAAGAATGACAAGGGTGAGCCAATCGCTGCTAGAACTGTTACAGGTTGACAAATGTGTATTGATTATAGGAGGTTGAATAAGGCCACCTGAAAGGATCATTTTTCCCTCCCCTTTATTGATCAAATGCTTGAACGTTTGGCTAAGAATTCCTTTTTCTGGTACTTGGAAGGATATTCTGGTTTCTTTCAAATTCCCATTCGTCCATGTGATCAGGAAAAGACTACTTTCATATGTCCTTATGGCATCTTCGCCTATCAAAGAATGCCATTTGGATTATGTAATGCTCCAGCCATGTTCCAATGTTGTATGATGGCAATTTTCTCAGGTCTTATTGAAAATTCAATGGAAGTCTTTATGGACGACTTTTCTGTCTATGGAACATCTTTTGATGTATGTCTTGAAAATTTGGAAAAGGTGCTCCATAGATGTAAGGAAGTCAATATAATTTCGAACTGGGAAAATTGTCATTTTATGGTACAACAAGGAGTTGTTCTAGGCCATGTGGTATCACATAAGGGTATTGAGGTCGATAAACCAAAAATAGAGGTAATTGAGCGACTAATCCCTCCTAATTTTATAAAAGGATTTAGGAATTTTCTTGGTCATGCAGGATTTTAAAGACGATTTATTAAAGATTTTTCGAAAATTGATATGTCTATTTTATATAGTGTTTCACCCCGTCCCTTGGTCTTAATTAGTAGTGTTTTTGGATCTTTAGAGCCACTTTTATTACTAATTGGTGTTTTTTGGTGTTTTCGTAGTTTTTGTTGAGTTTTGTAGGAAATTGCATCTTTAGAGATTTTTCTCGGGATTATTATGGAACAACTACGAGAATTGGAAGGCACGACCGCTTGCATTGGACACCGAGTATTCAAGACCCGAAGTGGAGATTCGAGTTGGGCCAAGAATGAAGCCCAATCCAAGTCCATCCTATAGTCGGGCCCGATCGGGCGAGCTTTAGCTTGATCGGGCGGCTGCCTAGAACAAGGGTGCGAAGAAAAAGGCGGGCCCGATCGGGCGGCCTTTCGCTCGATCGGGCGCGCGTTTATGAGGAGCTCTGTTCAGCGAGTTATTTAGTTTTAATTAGGAGTAATTATGAGTTTTGTATAAATACGATTTAATGCTTTATGTTTTTGTACTTCCTTCTCTTAGACTTTCTCTCTCTACTTAGTTTTTAGATTATTTTCTCTCTCTACAACTTTGTTCTTAATTCAACTCTTTAATTCCGATTACTTTGGTAACGATTTCTTCCACTTAAATCTCAGTTAATTATTTTATTTCTTTCATCATGACTTATTTAATTGCTTTGTTTAGTTTAGATTTAATTATGTCTGAGTAGTTTTCTTTCTAGGGTTTATGAGAATCCATAAATAATATGAAGGGGTAATTTATTGTTGTTGATTGTCAATGCTTGATTAATTTCCTATTGATTGATTTAATGCTCTGCAACCAGATTAGCGCTGGTCTTTTATGTATGAGTTTAGCAATATTAATTCGAGATTCGAGAGATGAGAATTGATATTTAGGCTTAGTTTTAATAGGCAGACTAATTTATAAATGGTTAAGTCGAGATTTGAGAGATGAGATTTAATACCGGTATGTTAACTCTGTGATTGTAATACGTAGCGAAAGCCCTTTATGATTTGGTTAATTGATGCATTGATGATTGATTATTATGTTTTACCCTGGAATAATATTTATTGGTGAACTTATGCCCTAGGTCCTTTATTCATTGATTTCTCTTTACCCTTAATCTTCGTAGTTTAATTTCCCTTCGATAATAATAATTTGTTACTTAATAATTTAGATTGCTTTAATTAATTAGGAATAGAAAGACCAGTTTCCCTGTGCATTCGACCCTACTTCCCTATCTATTTTATTTAGTGGTTTTAGGAATTACTTTTGATTAGGTGATACGACTTTAGCCTGTCAAAAATCGCTCGACCTCTAACTGAGCTTTTGGCCAAGGATGCCCCATTTGTATTTACTGATGCTTGTCTGGAAGCTTTTAATAGGTTGAAGGAAGCTTTGATCTCCGCCCCTGTTATGCAACCCCCGGATTGGACCCTACCATTTGAGATTATGTGTGATACCAATGACTATGTGGCAGGGCCCGTCTTGGGGCAACGGAAGGATAGAAAACTTTATGCAATTTATTACTCTAGTAAAACTATTGATTCTACTCAAATGAATTATGCCATAACTGAAAAAGAGATGCTAGCAGTAATTTAAGCAATAGACAAGTTTCATTCCTATCTTGTTGGTTCGAAGGTGATAATTCACACATATCACGTTGCATTGAAATGCATGTTTGATGACTAAAAGCCATGCCAGGTCGCGTTTGATTCGACGAGTCCTTCAATTGCAAGATTATGACATCGAGATAAGGGACACGAAAGGGATTGAGAATGTCGTTGCTGACCATCTTTCTCGCATCCTCCTTGAAAAGGGAGATGGGGATGACCTCCCCATTGATGATTCTTTCCCCGACGAACATTTATTAGCACTTTCTCAAATTGAATCACCTTGGTATGCTGATTTAGCCAATTTCTTGTCCACAGGTACATTGCCTCATGGTTACTCATCTTAACAAAAGAAGAAACTCTTTTACGAGGAAAATAGACATTTTAGGAGGATCCATTCCTATACAAATGGTGTGCGGATGCAATTATTAGAAGATGTGTCCCGGAAGGTGAGGTAAACCATATTATTCCTCATTGCCATGATCTACCGTGTGGTGGACATGCAGGTCCTACAAAAATAGTTGCAAAGATCCTACAATGCGGTTTTTATTGGCCAAAGTTGTTCAAGGTCGTCTATGCATATGTTAAGGCATGTAACTGTTGTCAACGGACTGGGACTATTTCGAGGAAGCACGAGATGCCACTCAATAACATACTCGAGGTCGAGTTGTTTGACGTGTAAGGGATAGATTTCATGGGACCATTCCCGTCTTCCTATGGTAATTGATATATTCTAGTAGCCGTTGAATATGTTCAAAGTGGGTAGAAGCAATAGCTACTCCAACCAATGATGCTCGTGTGGTAAGTAAGTTCTTTAAGAAAGTCATTTTTCCTCGTTTTGGTTTACCACGTGTGTTAATTAGTGATAGGGGAACACATTTATTGGAGAATCGATTTGAAGCAATGTTAAAGAAGTATGGAGTGCAACACAAGGTTGGAATTGGCTATCATCCACAAACTAGCGGTCAAGTTAAGGTGTCCAACCGAGAAATAAAATTTATATGGAGAAAACAGTCGCTAGGACAAAGAAGGATTGGTCGGTTAAGACCGACGATGCATTATGGGCTTACCGAAAGGCATTCAAAACGCCAATTGGTACCACTCCATATAGATTGGTGTATGGAAAGGCATGTCACTTACCCGTTGAGCTAGAACACCGAGCATTTTGGGCCATCAAGAGTTTAAATTTTGATGCTCAAGCATCGGGTGAAAAGAGATTGATGCAGTTAAATGAGCTCGATGAGATCCGTCTTGAAGCCTATGAAAGTTCAAAACTGTACAAAGAAAAGACCAAAAGGTGGCATGATAAAGGTCTTGTGAGAAGGGAATTCAAGGAAGGAGATCAAGTCCTTTTATTCAACTCAAGATTGAAACTATTTTCCGATAAACTTTGTTCTAGGTGGTCGGGCCCATCCAAGATTTGCAAAGTCTACCCCTATGGTACTATTGAATTATGGAACAAAAATGATGGTACTTTTAAGGTGAATGGCAAGAGATTAAAACACTAAAGAGTTGGTGATCCAATTGATGAGAGAGTAGACATCACGCTCTCAAATCCGGCAAAGGAAATTTGAAAAAAAAAAGGGTGGTCGAGCTTATGACCATATAAACAAGCGCTAAATGGGAGGCAACCCATTTTTTTTTTTTTTAATTTTATTTTCTTTTTGTTTTAGTTTATTAACTCTTTTATTATTATTATTATTATTATTATTATTATTATTATTATTATTATTATTATTATTATTATTATTATGTTTTCTAAAAAAAAAGAAAAAACAAAAAGAAAAGAAAAAAAACGAGCTTAAAGTGTGAATATCCCAGGCAGGCACATCCATGCCTCTAAGCAACATGCCTGTGTCATCTTGGGAAATTTTAAGGCTAAATTTTCTGATCTTGGGCATGCCCATGCCTAAGGGTGGCATGCCCATGTCTCACAACTTGAAGGGAAATCCAAGATAGCAAACTAAAGGCTCCATATTCTCACATATATTAAAGGGTTTTTCTAAGTTATGCCCCCAAACTTCTTCGTTTTCTAAGATGTGCCCATGCTTTTTTAAACGTTTAAGTTGTGCCCTCAACCTCACAATTTTTTATTAACAATAACCTTGAGATTAACAATAACATTTTTTTTTTATTATTTTATTTTCTGATTTTTTTTTAAAAGTGTTAAACCAATTAGAATAGGACATGTGTCAAATAAATAACGTCACAACACCATTATCGATAAAATAACTTAACTTTTATTAACGGATATGACTGTCAAAGGGTATTGTTGATAAAATATTGTGAAGTGGAAGGCACGGCTTATAACTTTGAAAAAGCATGGGTACACCTTAGAAATACAATAACTTGGGGGCATAGCTTAGAAAAACCCTATATTTTTTTTCTCTCCCCTCTTCCACCATCACACATACTCTCCTCTTCTTTCTCAATCCCGTATAACCCTCTCATACCCCTTAAAACTCATCAATTTTTCACATTTTACTCATCAATTCTTCAAGAATTTGATCCCACTACTATTACTATACTTATCTACCAAAAATTCCCCATCTAAGCTCACTATGAAACCCCACACTCATCAAAATTCGAAAACCCTAAATTTGTCAACGAATTTAGGGGTTTCCTTTTGGGTTTAATTGAAGCAATTTGGTGAAGTGGGAAGCATCTCAAGAGGATCAAGGCTACACAATCGTTGTCAATTGTGGGTATTCTTAATACCCACTACAACTTTGGTATAATCTCTCCACTCACTTTCGCTCTCTTCAAGTTTTATGAATATTACTTGTGAAATTATTTGGTAAACTTGTTAGATTGTGATTCTTGTGGGTGAACCTTGATTGTTGCTCTTATTAGTGTAGATTTTGGGTCAACTTTATTGAGTAATTTGGAAATTTGTGCTCTAATTAGGTATGTAGATGATACTTTCTTGATAATTATGAATGTGGTTAAATTTGGAAATTTTGTTAGGCATCCCCCACACCTCGAAGGTGATCCATTACTGGTGGGAGGCGGCCCGGTACATATGGAGGAAGATGCCCCCGTAAATCAAGGTGCTCAAGGTAATCAACAACTACCGGCTTTGGAGGAGCAGATAGTGGATTTAAGGACTGATATCACTACTATGAGGTCCAATCACTACTACAAAAAGCGTGTTTTTTGGACGCTTTTTAGGCCTTTTTCCGATGTTAAAAAGCGTCGAAAAAATATTTCTCGACGCTGCTAAAAAGTCAAAAATACGTGAGTCGAGAATTTCAAGACACAAAAAAGCGTCAAGAAGCTCGACGCTTTTTTGTGTCCTGACTAATATACGAAGTGTCGAAAATTATGTATTTCGCGCATTATCCCAAATGTGTGTAGTTTTTTAGCGACGTTTTTACATATCCACATAATCAAATTTAGCGACGCATTTTGTTGTCTTGCGTTTATTCGTGTCAACCTATGGTATGGCGGGAAACTCTTCAAATATGAAAATGTGCAAAATATGTAGACATTAAAAAGCGTCTAGAATTTTTTTTTAAGCTTTTTTTTTCTTTTATTAAATTATTACCATCATACATACATTATAGTTATTTAAATTTATCAATAAATTAAATTAATAACATACAAATAAAAAAAACAATTATTAATCAACAATAATAAGAGTACGTAGTTAATTACCAAATTTATAAAAAGAAAACATCAACACAATTAAAAACAAATTAAAAAAAAAAACGTCGCACATTATAGTAGCTTGTCCCTAAATAAATACATCACTAATATTAGACTAAAAATCAAAATACATAGATGATGGCCTTATAGACAATATAGTCACTTGTTTTGATGCTCAAGTGTCCCGGCCTATTCTCTTGTTGTACCTACATTGCCTTTTCCAATCTTCAAAAACAAAAATACAAATTATAAATTAGTACATTAAACAATATATGCTCAAGCTTCATAATCGATTTGAGACAATAACACGGACATTATACTTTAATCTAGGCAATTAATTATGTACAATGCACATATATAAATCTGTAAAGTAGGCCTATAAATTTTTAAGCTTTCTTGCTGTCCATTAGAAAGCTTAAGAGAGTTTGTCTAATAATGGGAATAGTTTTATGATGAATTCAAAACTGAACCTTGCCAAGAGTTTAGTATCATTATGCATTTAAAGCATTTCCACACTAACTGATCATACAGCCATTGCGGCACGCGCACGTGCACACACACACACACACACAATCTTTACAGCAAATGAAGTTGAAAAAGACCATTAAACAGCTGATAGAGAACCTAGCATAAGAGCAATTAGTAACATCATTGAACCATAAAACAGAAATTATCTACTATCAATAGCCTATGCCTTGTGCGCGTCTTTTGTTAGGCACTTATTGTGCAGGTGGTTGTTGTGTAAGATTTCAGAGGAAAATTACAACATGTGCAGGCGCTACAGGGAAGAGGTTCACAAATAAGTAAATGACGTCTCGTTGCAAAAGATAAAAATGATTATATCATTTCAAAATTGTCAGATCACTTTGATGTCCATGTATCTCAATAACTCTTCAATATTCTATAGTTGATAATTACAGCAACTTCCTAATAAGTCTATTTTAATCTTTCATTACCGATTCAACAGATTTCATTATACAAAAATTGAATCATTAATAAACTAACACTCCCATTATGAAACACCCTTTCCCCTTTAAATCACTGAATAATTAGCCGTAATTAAGCACCCCCGGCCCATTCATATAGAATTGAACTATTTCCATAAATTGTAGCCTCTAACCCGAAAATGGGGAGCCACTATGACAAGTTCTGATGATCAGATCTGAATTCAGTTATGAAAATCAGCTCTGAACTTCAGATCTGAATTTGGGTCACTTCCTTTTTCCCATTTTCTTTCAAACAAACAGTTAGAGCATCCTACAAATTTTTTCCAAGGTTATCACTTTAACAATGTTACATGCAATTTTACTTAGAGTTTAACAAACACATAGCAAGTAGCAATGTTCTAGCAAAAGTAGCATAGAAACAGCAGGAGCAAAGCAGAATTTCTGAATTCAAACTCCCAAAAAACAGGTCTGAATTCAGTTCTGGATTCAATTCTGGATTCAGTTCAAAATTCAAACTCCCAAAAAATCAGGTTTGAATTCAGTTCTGAATTCAATTCTGGATTCAGTTCTAGATTTCAGTTCTGATTTCAGTTATAAAGAGAAATGTGACTTTGTTACCTGATGTTTTGCCTTTCCTAAGAATTCAGATGCTTTGTTTAAAAGACCCGGAGATGCATTCCCTTGACGAACTGCACCTACAATCTGAGAAAATTGTCCAACAAGCGCTTTAAGAAGAAGATTGTTGGACAATTTAAGTCAAAGTATATTAAAAAAAGGTCCTACAGGCAAGTGAGGTTGGGCCATAGGTGAGCTTAGCTTTGTCGAAGTAGAATCCTAGAGCTTTATAGGTAACTTATAAATTCATAAAAAGGGTTCAAGTCTAGTAACACAAGATAGGACACAATCACAACCACGAACACACACAAGATAGGATACAAACACGACCATGAATATAGCCGGGCAGCAGTACAGTTAACAAAGAAAGGCAATAGCAAGTCTGCAACAACACCTTAATGCATGAAGCAGCAACATAAAACAATAACAGCAGTAACATCAAACAAGAACAAAAACAGAACAACAATTAATAATAATAGGGGGTTCTAGAACTTCCATTTCTTGTAAATACACAAAACTAACATGTATTATGTAAAGTGGTAAAAAAAACTTACATGTATCCTGTAGCGTAGTACAGCCAATGACTACACCTTTAGCTTCTTAAAGGTATTTCTTTCGACGATGAATGTTTGGCCACATATCCATGTCAAGAACATGGCTAATAGTGTGTGAGGCCACCTGAGCTAGAGATACAATTAACAAAAGAGAAAAAGATCAAAGAATGTTGACTTTTACCTAAAAAATCGTAATGCATACGGAACCAAAAACAATTAAACAAAATAAAAAAAATTATTGAAAAGAGGCTATCAAACAACTCAAAAGTCATCATAATCGTGCTTCAAATGCAGAACAATAAGCTAAATTTTTCAGAATAGACATAAAATAGAAGCACAATGAAACATAATAATACTTTGTATACATGAAAAATCCTTGAAATATCTACTGTCTATGAATCAAATATTTTAAAACAATACAGACAAAGCAATTACTAACAGGAAGGTCAAATTCATTAGGAAGGTAAAAAACAGAACAAAAAAAAAGTAAGCCATTTCTTTGCAAAGGTCAAACAAACTGTACTTCACACTCTAGCTGAAAATATTTTGCAAGACACCCACATAAACTGCTGCTAGAAGAGGAGTCAACCCAATGGATCCAATTACAGGTGTAAGTGGAGCACCAAACAAAATCAATGAAAAGAAACCAACTCCTGTAATGAGAAGAACAGACATAACGCATGTGAAAATTTGGTTTGTTTTATTTGAGCTAGATGTCAGCAGCTTGTAATGTCAAGAGTACAATTTTTACAATAAAATAATTTCTCTCTTGTTTATATACTATTGAAACATGGAAATAACTACGTCGTACAAAACTATAGCTGATAGAGTGATAGAGTGGGAAGAAATTAACCTTTAACCCAATGAATTACAGTAAGTTTTTTTTTTCTCAACTTTGAAGCATAAAGAGTTATCAAGAGCTTGTTTTCTTAAAGCTAAGTTGAATTAATTTAATAAAATTAGCTCTTTTGACAAAAGGTTAGTAAAATTTTGCTAATAATAATTGCACAACAATAAAATGCTAGATACAAAATAGTGTAAAAAAGAAAGACTCGGAACAAAATAATGAACAACAACCAGGTTCTCATATCAAAGACCAAACTTCTCACACAAAACAATAGTTATTATCACCTGATTCACAAATGTGCGAGATATACATCTATCCTTGTCAATTATCCATTCAATTACAATACATAAGCTAAATAGTCACAACATAGACTTACATTCATGATATTCTATATATACAAGCACTCTAAGACAAGGCCCACACCAAAATTGTTTCAGCATACAGCTTAAGCAAAACATCTTCCAATTCAGTTTAAGAGTGTAAATTTTAATCAAAGTTCAAATTTTTCTAACTCGTAAATTAAGAGCATAATTTCTAAAGTAAAATGATTTATCTATTATTTATAAAATATTGAAACATGGACCAAACCACAAACAAAACTATAGCTAACAGAGGGATATGAAGAAATTAACCTTGGACCATGAAATACTTGTGACTTTGATGAAATCTCAGCAAATAAGAGTAATTTATAAAAATATATTCCTATTAAAATTAAAAAAGACAAGATGAACGACTTGATCAAAAACCAGCAGTAGCTCCCATCATCCATTCATTAGGAAGCACGCGGTCAACAAACAATGATTTGAGCATAAATGTCATAGCATATTTCCCAAATAACTACTTATTCAATTATTAATTTGATTCTCGTGGCCCTTAATTAAAAAATTCATATGTACCTGGAGATTTCCTTTGTTGATCGCCATTGTTACTTGGATGGGCTAATGTTGATGCCTCACATTGTAGAATCTGCAAGATTCATGACAGTTATTCAGTGATTTCAACAAGATCTAGAACCTAGGGTTTTGAAACGAGTAACATTTGGCAATTGCAACTTACAAGTATCAATTAAAGTCACACAAAAAAATGAAAGAATTACTATTAGGAGTTTAAAAACAACAAAGAGTGATGTAAAAATGCACCTTGTGAGGAGAACAAGAGCAATAGCTGTCGCAAATCCATCTTCAAAGCAAATAACCAGATCTGAGAGAAAGAAAATAATTTTGGCAAGATATATAAATTATTGTGATAGAATTTTAGAAACGCAAAGAGAAAGAGGATCTGAATTCGAAATATAAGCCATGACTCCATGAATCTCTGCGTATAATTCCAATCAAATGAAGAAAAAAAAATACAGAATAGTTAGGGTTAAGAATATGATGAGTGGGGGGTTTTGTGGGTATAATGATCGTGTTGTTCACCTGATTGAGTACACGTGCGGGGCACGTGTCAGTGATCTCGACGCTAAAAGTAGTCTAAAATTACTTCCGACACTATAAGGCGTCGAGAAGACGCGGGATTATAATTTGTTGTTGACGCCCTTGCCTTAGCGTCGAGGCAATAGCTTCGAAAAAAGGCTCCTTTTGTAGTAGTGAATGTCGAGGGCCTAAGGAGAGATTTTGAGGAGACGAGGATGGGGTACAACAATCTAGTGCAATCTCAAGACAGCATGGCCACCTCCTTTGATGAAATGAGAAGTCAATTCATCACTATACAGATAGCATTTCATAACATGGGTGACATGATGCGTCGTTATTTTGAGGGCGGTCCTAGCTCTGCCTCGAGGTATGATCCCTCTTCCGGCCAGTAGGGCCTAGTTTTCTCTTTCCCTTGCAAGTTTTGATCGATATACGTTCACATTGAGAACTATGTAAAGTTTTGCTTGGGGGAGGGATTACTATATGCTTTGTATATATTACTTTGTTTGCTTTTGGCTTTTCTAGTGTCCTGCTATGCATTTATATGGTTTTGCCTCAATGATGATATGTGATAAATGTGAAAATTTTATGAAAAAAAATAATGAAAAACTCTTTTTTGAAAACCCATTAATTGAATGAATTGGAGTTGAACTTATTTGTGGCAAGAATGGTCTCCCCGGTCGACTGATATGAATAGTTTGAGTATCCATGTGAGATTTTTCGAGCCATTTCGACTGACACATCTTATTTTAGTCGCTTTCCTTTTATGTGTGATAGATTTCCTTCATGTAATTTGATTCTTGGGTTTTCTTTGCGACTATTTGAGACTTTTTAATGCAATATGGAAGAATGATTGAATTTCCTTTTAGTTAATTAGAGCCTCAACTTCTTAGGTTTGTGATTTGTGCTCTACCTTTTTTTTTTTTTTACATCAACTCTTAGGGAGAACCAATTTGAGCCTTGATTCCCTTCTTGGATGCCTTATATTATATGCCTTAGTGCCTTTTTGTAGGTTTATTTTGATGGAGAATCATTGTACAATTTATGCCCCTTTGAGTTGTGGTACTTTCAATTTGAAAAAAAAAGAGAAGAAAGAAAAGAAGTTGAAAAGAAAGAAGCGAAAAAAATACTTGTTTACGCTTTAGAAAAAAAAGTGAAAAGTTGTGTTGTGAAAAAATAATACAAAAAAAATGAAAATTCATGAAATTTGAGCTAAAAAGTGATGAAAAAGAAGGGTAATGTTTGTCATGAAATAGAGTTTGCCTTCGAAAGAAAAAAAAAAAGAAGTAGGAGAACTGAATTGTGTGAATAAGGGGCTTGTTTATGTGTTGTTTGGAGGATATAAGGTTGGTTTGAACCCGACATTTGGCTATGTAGTGGGATTAGGATTTTTGTTATTTTTTTTAGCACCAAATTCCCAAATAACGTCTTCTAACCTTGTATAACCAAGCCTACCCATATTTAGGAATTCATGACCTCTATTTTGCATCATCATTTGACAAAGTGGAGAAAGTCTATTAGCAAGTCTTAAGAGGATAATTCCATGAAGTCAACCGGCATTTATGCTTAGGTTGTGTGATTACTTACTTATTCTAACCGTTGTAAACACATGAGTGGCTTATTTATTTTACTTTGCGCAACTAAAGTGAGATGCTATTCATATACGACTGAATTGGTTAGGGGAGATGTGTGGCGAGATTGGTTGTCAACTCCGGGTGCTTGAAGCTTTTGGTGGTTTTACAATTGATGGTTTGCATTTCTTGTTTTTCACTTGGTTTTGATTGGTAGAACATGTATTCTTGGTTGAGAGGTTATCTTGTTTCCCTTAGTGCTTCATGGTCGAATGCTTGAGGACAAGCATTAGGCTAGCTTGGGGGAATTTGATATATCGTGTAATGTGCATATTTTTAGAGTCTTTTTAGGTAGTTTTCGAGTCTATATTAGTTGTTCATGGCTTATTTTGGCTTGATTTGGTTTAGTTGTGATCATACGATGCTTTTATGGGTATATTCGTTGTTTTTGATGTATTTCAGGATTTAACGAAGATTTTTGGAATTTTTACGGAGTTGCGGATCGTGGTCAATATCTTGCAATTCACCTTGAAAGCCAAAGTTTGAAGTTGAATTCACTTAGGGGTAATTTCCAGCCAAACACGCCCATGTCACTCAGAGACATGGGCGTGTCAGTGTGTTTTGAGGAGGCAGAAAGTTAGAAGTTGAAGTTTCATATGAGGCACGCCCATGTTCATTTGAGGCACGCCCATGTCGAGTCGAGTGTTTCAAGCTAGCAGGTATGTGTTAAGGGAAGCATGGTCGTGTTGAATGTAGGCATGCCCATGCCTCGTCGAGTAAAAATGGCCTAGCGAGACACGACCCATGTCAGAATTTGACATGCCCATGTCTCGCTGGAGATTGAAGAAAAATTGATTTTTGACTTTAGGCACGGGCATGTCTTGTGTGACATGCCCATGCCTGGACGAATTTTGTCGGTTTTAACCCAATTTATTTCCTTAATTAATCCCATCTTTTAGACTTCTTATAAATACTCTTGAGGATTATATTTTCATTATCTATCGTATTAGAACCCTAGTTTTCTCTCTAGAATTTATTTTCATTGTAATTCAAGATTATGCACTCAAGTTTCTTCATTTATCTCTCATAATTGAAGATTTGGTACTTTCTTATTCTTTTTAATTCCCTTTATTATCAATTAGGTTTTCTTTAATTCTTGTTATTGTTTTCATTAATATGTGTGAGTAGTTTCCCTATTCCAAGATCTAGCGGAACCTGAATATAATTGATGCACGGATTAATTCTTTAAATTCTCTAATGATAATTGCAATTGATTTGCTTAATTGATTGTGCTCATGCCAATACTAGATTAGGGATAATTGGTATTGTTGTTAATCCAATTTTGTAATCGCAACAGGAGTTGGGTTTTGACGGATTTAAATAAATCAATTAAGGGCTTGAAGTTCATCACGGGAGTAGTTGAATGGATGATTAGGAAGTTATAGTAATGTGCTTAAGGTCTTTAATTTACATGATTCCACGAAAGTAGGCTTGATTGTGATTAGAGAAGCCATTGATAACTTGAGAGAGACCATTGGTACCATTCAGGGATTACTTTTCCTCTTTAATCAATTGAATTATGTGTTAGGGGTAAAACGACTATTGCATTAATTGTATTCGTGGTGATGCTTGATCTTGGATGTTTTTAGCATTGATTTGCCATATTGTTTAGATTTAATCGTTTTAATTAGTTCTTTAGATATTAATTCTTAATTATTTGAATTGGTTACTTGCTTAGTAATTGCTTGAGTCGATTTAATTAGTTGAACCATAGTCTCTTGGGATCCGACCTTGCTTGCCTGTCTACATAGTAGTAGGTTTATTTTTGTTAGGCACGCAACACACCTATCATAGACCGAGTGAGTGTGATGATAAAGCACAAGACCCAAGGCGGGCTTTAACGACAAGATTTCATGACCTCTTTTTTTTATTCCTCCTTTCCCCAACAAAGTCTAGCATAGGCACCTTTTACTTTTCTTAGATTTATAGATTTTATCCTTTTCCATATTAATAAAATGAGAATTTAATTCTTTGCATATGATCATCATATTGCATTTAAAAAAAATTTCATGCTGGACTAAGCATAAGGTATACTAGTGATTTAAGGCACCCTTGTAGCCATATCAGATCACTCTCACCCTTTAAAAATATAAATCCTTTCTTGATAAACCACTTTGAGCCTCATATCACGATAAATCTTTCTTTCTTCAACCCACATCTACCTAACCTTGAGACGGGATGGTGTACAACTTATAAAGACAAAAAGCTTGAGTAATTTTACAAAAAAAAAAAATAGCAATAAAAGTGTACAAAAGGGCAAGTGTTCCAATGTCCTTGATATGAACACGTCTCAGATTACGTCTCTTATTTAGTGCTCGGCACCATGCATGAGAAACATGAATGCCAAGTGAGTGATAGACTGCATGATCGGGATTGCCCACACATATAAAAAAAATATGATAAAGCAAAAAAAAAGATAGCAGAAATATAAACAAAAGAGAGTTAAATAGTGAGAAACTTCGAGCATACAAATATAAAGATTCAAATGCAAGGTTGCACACCTTGGGGGACTTATCTAGGGTCTGGAGCCTTTTATCCCCTTCTTCTTCAAACTTTAACCTAACCACGTGACAACCCTTAAAATACCTCTTTGAGATATACACACACTTGTGCGAGGTTCGGCTAGAGCTACATTTAGACAGATTTCTAACAGATACGGAGGCAATCTCACATCGAGGTGCGGCCGTAATAAAAATGCATTGACATTCATATTTATATTCAAACATGATCATATCAAGGGATCTCTAATGTTCATTCCTATCCATTTAGAGCTAGACTTGGGGGCTTGATCCTTACATCATTAGCTTACCCAGCCTAAAAGCCACCATCATTTGACTCTTTTCAAAATACTTTGCCACACTTAGCTCTTGCGGCCTAACCGTAGTGTCACTTTCACACACACCACAGATACATGACCAAATGATCCTTCCCCTAGTGTAGACACACAAATGTATCTCCCTAAAACCAAACCCAGTGATGAATACCATTCACGACATTTGATTATCGAGCGTAGTGAAAGTGTGAAAAGTCTAGTGATGCGGTTGTATTTATTAAAATATCTCTCTTTCTATTTTTGAAGTTATTTGTTTATATACTCTATTTATGAAAATAGCCAGTCTAATTTAGTTTGGTCCATAATAAGGTTCCAATAATAGTGTAGTTGGATTGGGCTCGAAAAGAGGTTTTCAACGATATATTATAAGCCCAATTCCGATGAATAATGAGGAAGTTATGGCTAAAATACTAAATTTGGCTCGAAATGAATTTTATATGCGGCCCAATGATCTAGTGGAGGGCATATTAATTATTATTCCTAAATTTATTAGAATTGACT